AAAAAAAAAAAATAGAACATTCGAAGAATGTTGCCCAACGATCAGAAAAACGCCAAATTCTTTGATGTCTTAATTTTGACGAGCGCCAGATTTCAACACGATGCCTCGCCTATAGTTGAGATTCTTCATCTAACACGAGATGTATAAGACTCGGGAAGAACGAAAAGAGGATTAGTTTTAAAAGATGGACAGACGAGCTTCCCCCTTCTCCCCCCATCCTCCCAACCCTCTCTCACAGAAAGATTGAGACAGCCAGGAGCCACAGTGTAGTAAACAATGGTCAATGTTTCCTTGAGCCGTCCAGGCGGGACTTACTTGACCTACTACGCACATTCCAGATTTTCACTCTCGATGGGGTCACTTGTGAGTCCCAGAAACGTTATACACAAAAGACGCTTTTAAATTATCCTATTGATGGAAAGCTCAAATATACTTTTTACTCCCTCTCCTCCCCTCCTCAAAATTAAAACAAATAAAAAAAAACAAGCAAAGAAACCCCCCCCCAAAAAACCAACTACTCGTATACAAGCTTGAATAGGAAGACACCAGATGACGCAGTATCAGATAACTTTCGTTGTGTTTAGTTATGCAGAAAACAATGTTTTGTTTATCCGAATAAATCTGCAAAAAAATGAAATTGTTCCGAGAGCATGTTGTTATTTATTTATTTTGAATTCGTACAAACATGTTTCGATATTCTCCTCCCTTCCTACGTAGTACTTGTACAAGTCTCTATCTGACATATTTAACATTGACAGATTGTCAACCCTGATAGAGAAAAGGGAAACGAGAAACGCCTTGTTTTAGGTGGTGGATGTTTCCGTCTCAGTTTTGATAAATTTCGCCCAGAAGATGAAATGTTTTAGAAAACTAATCAATGTCACGAAGGAAGACTGCAAAAGAAGCGGAATTGTCAGTAAATTAACAGAATTGAAATAGGTCATGGAGCATATTGAACAACAAAGATTTGTGTGGTTCTGTCACCTGATAAGAATCTCCTCCAACCCCGCCTCATTAACAAGCTGTATGAGCCTACAACTCAAGAGAATCAGGTCATAAAAGCAGGGGTAGACCAAGAAAATTTTGGCTTAATGGCGTCAAAGACGTCCTCTACCAGAATAACATATCGACAACAAAAACCACCGACCAAGCTTTTGGCCGAAAATTGCAGCTCCCCTCAACATCTAACGATACAAAAGGAAAGGTAAAACTGAACTGAACTGAATAGGGGAAAATACACCGCGTATCGTGAACGCAGGCACGTTATCTCACACTGACAGTCGAGAACGGAGGAATTAATGATCGGAAAGAGATAAACTATCTCCCACATTCCCATAAACATCGGATCATGCAATGCCATAAAATGCAGTAGCGCATCCATATAATAAAAACACGGCCAACTGCGTCTATGACCTGAAAAGAGTGGAAGTTAAAAATTACAAAATTGACATACAATTGTACTGCAGCATCTGATTCTGGAAAACAAATTATTAACAGAGTGTGCAGAGCACCATGTGTATTAGATTCATTAGTATTATTTTTTTTTGCTTGGTGCTTGTGTGAAATGTTAAAAGCTATGTGCATGGTGTTTTAGATAGAGTGATAGAAAAATACCAGGGGACCAGAACAAGTTCGTCGATAAGAAAGCCGATAAAACCAGTATAAATGATGGTACAAACACCAAGGTTTAAGGAAATGTAGTACATTTGTCCAGATTTGTCCTGTACTAATAACAATTAAATATGACAGCTACAAACACAGTTACAACAATATATCTTCCAGATACTCCCCATTTCGAGTAAATTACATTATTCTGACAAACGGAGTGAAAATGACAATCAGGCGTTGACACTGACTGGGGGAAATCTCTTCCGTGCACTCCATGATGGTTTCTTTTAAATCTCGAATGTTCTCAAAGGTTTTCCCCACCCACCTTGTCCTCCCAAAACGTCAAATATTGAAAGTCCAGTGGACTCAGGTCCGGATCGTTTGGGGTCCAGTTGTGCTTATTCGGACTGACTGATCTGTAACCAAAATGGCTGCGGATCCGTCGCAGAACGGCTCTGGCGTTATGTCGAGCAGCCTCGTATTGCAGGAAGTTCTGGTTCTGTCTCCTGTCATCATCAACAAATAGTTCCAAACTTTTTCAAAATTTTGGTAGGATGACGAGGTATCGGTCAGACTTCCCCGAATCACGGACCACCCTAACCTTTTCAAGAGTGCGTTGTTTTTACAGACTGCCTACCGTGTGTTACTCGACGCTCAGACTTAGAATTCAAGTTCTATTCTTCTATGGACCCAAACCTTTCAAAATTTGCTGTCCATTTCAAAATGGACCTTTTGCTTGAACCATTATGCTCGTTACCGATATCATTCTCGTATGCCTGATCAAATAATGTACATGTATACATTTGGGAGGTTTCGTTCGTTGATGCAACTTCACTGCCAAAGCACGATGTACAAGGGTTAACTGTTTTATCATCTTTCCGTTGTGCAATAGCAATGAACTTTAAAAACTAATTCGGATGGACGCTCGAGCTTTCTGTCAATTTTAATTTTAATTGGGTCACAAACAAGAGAGTCATTAACATTTTTTAATGAACTTCTTTCTAGTCAGCTAGTAGATACATGGATAGATAGATAGATTGATAGATAGATAGATGGATAGATAAATAGGTAGATAGATAATAGGTAGATAGATAGATAGATAGATAGATAGATAGATAGATAGATAGATAGATAGATAGATATCTCTTATAATAGACAAACCAAACAGTAAAAGCCAAAACTTTCAACAAAACATTCTTTTTGCATGGTCATGTTTAGGACCACGCAAAAGGTACATTTGGTTTTTATCCCTTGCCTTTTGTGGAAGGATATATTGTCCTTGAAAAACAGTTTTTAGCTTTTTGCTGTTTTCAACTCTATTTACTGTGAAAGGGAAATGAGTCGAGACATGTAGGGCAGAATTACAATATTATTTTGTGGACTTGGGAATTGAGTCATTGAAGAGGTAACATGTTTATGAAATCTAAACAAGAGTGGTTGTTGATCATGCAGAACTGGAGGAATGAATCACGTTGAATTACTCTCCATCCCTCTCTTTCTCTGTCTTTTAGTCTTTCTGTTTGTCTGTCTATCTCTCTGTGTGCCTGTCTGTCCGTCTATCTGTCTGTCAGTCAGTCTGTTTGTCTGTCTGTCTGTCTAAAAAAATCAGCTTTGAGGGTGTTTTCTCAAAGCGTTCATTTTGGTACTTATATGACCTATTTTTGTATAGTAAGTGCCGTAAAACTCTTACTAAAAATTACCAAAAACCATTATTTTTAGCGTCACGCCATTTTTTCTTTCTTCAGGAGCCGTCTGTCTTCTCTGAGCGGCCGTCTTCGCGGGGCAGGATGAGCCTACGGCGCAGCGAGAAGGCCAAAAACAGGGGCAGCTACTCTGTAGATCAGATCGGTAAGTTGAGAATTCATACAGTTAAATCCCTTGCTTCTGTCTGCATTCTTCGAAGGTCTTAACCTTTTCTCTGCTTTACTCAAGACAGCTCAGGGGGAATTAGAAAAAGAAATACTTTTTTGAAAAAGCTGAGCAGGGCTGGCATAGAGGAGGTTAATGTCGCCGGTTTGAATTTGTTTTTGTGATGTTTTTGTGAACATGTTAGAGTCTGTGTCGTTATTATTGTTGGACCGGCTCAATCTACTCCATCAATGTTTACTGCCCTGGCAAAACTATAATATCATGTACACTGCTTTAAGATCGTCTGCCAAGACGCCAGAGGCCAACATGGATGAAGCAGAGAGAGGTAAAGTGTATACGTGTTGGCTGAGAAAAGTATAAATGTATGGTTAGGAGATCTCGGTCTCTGCACTTTCTGTTTTTCTGTCGGTTATTTATTTATTTCTGATAGTATTCTCTCTGAACGTCCATTGGTCATTTACAAGTGAGGGGATAATATGCAGGTTACATATTATGTACGTGTGTGTGTGTGTGCGCGCGCGTGCGTGTGTGTGCGTATGTGTGTGCGTGTGTGTGTGTGTGTGTGTGTGTGTGTGTGTGTGTGTGTGTGTGTAGTGCGTGTGTGTGAATGTATGTGTTTGTGTGTGTATGTGTGAACGTGTTTGTATATACTTGTCTGAGTGTTTATGTGGCACAGTGGTTTTGCTTCCGTGCGTATGATCGAAGTATTGGCGTTCAGTTTGTACACATCCTAATTCTATGATCTCATTCAACAACACCAACCACCATACCCTATTTGATCATTCCAAACGTGTTGTTCGTATCCACTTTAAACGTATGAACGGTGGGGTTTTTATTTTAGAGAATAGAATTCTAACTTTAGTTTATTGATCTTGGTACTTTTTATTGCAATTTAAAAGAGATCTATCGTTTCCACAGTATTGATTGCTTTCTGATTTGTGATTGCTTTCAAGCTTGTAAAACAGTGTTAAGGGCTTAGCCAATCTATATTGAACGGTGGATGTTTTTTGTGTTATTGCCCGGACCCACAGCCCCCAAGCTAGTTCTTCATCGCTCCGCTTTTGGTTTTTACTTGTATCCCACCCTTCCCCCCCTTCTCCCCCCACATCTCCCCCCTCTCTCTCTCTTTTTCGCTCTCTCTCTCTCTCTCTCTCTCTCTCTCTCTCTCTTTCTCCTCTCTCTCTCTCTCTCTCTCTCTCTCTCTCTCTCTCTCTCTCTCTCTCTCTCTCCCCCCTCACTCTTTCTCTCTCCCCCTCACTCTCTCTCTCTCATTTTCTCTTATTTTCTCTTATTTTCTCACCTCGTATCTCTACCGTCGCCCATGTATCGGTATCTTTGACACACCTGCTTTGTCCTGACCCTTCATAACTTACACACTCTGAATGAGACTTAGTCTCATGAATTATAAACATTAATTCGATTCCTTCCAATGTTCCTGAATAAGCATAAATGCAATATGTAATATCATTCCGGCGTAATTTTCGACGAATGTATCAATTTGGCCCCATGCGCTTCCATTCCATAATAATTTCAAAACCTTGCTTGGTTTTCTTGTTCGGGGGGGAATATCATACATGATTAAAATGTCGCCCCTCCTTCCAATAAATAAATAAATTAAACAGTTAATTAATTAATTATTTAATGAATGTTACAGTAAGAGTTTAAGGGCACTTGAAATGCAAATAGTTCATAAAATTGCCGATGATTAGAGGTGTTACAAGATAATAATATACATATAAAAAAAGGAGAGGAGATTATAGATTGTTGATAGAAAAGAAGGAGCAAACCACACCAGTGCACCCGCCGACCACCCACGGAAGAATCATGAGCAGGTCCCACCAGTACAAATGTACATTGATGCGTTCTGTCTCAACTTATCAAGCAGATTCCACAAGTAGAAACAATACATAGCTCAACGCGAAAACGGGCCAATTACTACATACCCTCATCCTTATTCTATTTCTCGACTATCAATGCCATTATTATCACGGTCACTTTCGTCACATCTGCATTCAAATATTGTTAAAAAGCAACAGAAAAGCAACACAAAAAGCCAACAGCAAAAACAAAAACAACCCCCCCTCCAAAAAAACCCCAAAAACAACAACCTACAACCCCCCCCCCCCTCCCCCAAAATAAATAAATATAAAAAAAACAACAACCACGAATTGATTCTTTCCGTCCTAGATTAATGGTCGGGTTAAATATCAGCTTTCATGTTGTGCTTCTCACGGAAATGTTAGCTGTGAGCGTAATCGATAAGCCTCTGCTCGCCTTTACAACAAGCTGCGTCACTATTGCTTTCATACCATGGTTTATTTTCAGCTACCTCTCCCTCTCCCCAACCCCTACCCCACCCTCGCTCTCCCCATTTTCCACTTTTTGAAACACTCACACTGAAAATTGAATAAGAAATAAAACAACAATTTGGAGTTTTTGAACTAGCGCTGTCCTGAAATGCGGATTTTAAAAGTTTGTTTTTAAACATGAGGCATGACATTCAAGGGTGGTCGGGATGTTGAAAAACCAAAAGCAATGGGAAAAGAAGAGGTATACAGGAAGCTTTAGTCTTTTGTTTCTTTGTTGTTGTTGTTGTTGTTGTTGTTGTTGTTGTTGTTGTTGTTGTTGTTGTTGTTGTTGTTGTTTTAATCAATATTTTTATTTTAAGAATACTTTTAAAAACTGCAGTGACTATTGACGTTTTGAGGTCAAGTGTTGTTTTTTTGAGTATCTGAAAATGCCAACTCTATTGATTCCTGTATGGTGGTTCGCGTTCGAGTGACATGCAGACAAAACATCCAACAAAAAAAGATAGCATAACAACAGTCTTGAACCCACACGCCAATACCAGTCTCGGCTGTGACACACATTTGACAGAGCTACAGAGGGGAAAATAGAGCTGTTTATCTTGGAGGGGGTAACAGCACAATGATGATGGACAGGGGGTGTAAAGAATATTAGTTCTAGGCGCGCTCTTTTTTCCGCCTCTGTGATTCTATCAAAGTAATCCAGTTTCCCGATTTAGGTCACGTGTTTTCTGCTATTCGGGTATGAGTGCACAATTGAAAATCTTGTTACACCGTGAAAAGGTTACACGCAACAACACTTGTACTTTTTAGAGAGTATAAAAGTAAATATTAAAACTCTGCTCCCCCCACCCCATAATATGGAACTTGCTTGACCTAATACGCACAACTTGAGTCTCCACTATCTTTGAGGTCACATTTAAATCCCTGTGACATCGTGTGCGAACGATATTTAATTTGCTTTAACAAAAGGGGGTCGAAGTTTATTTTTTCCCCTCCTTTGTTTTATTGTTGCTGTTGTTTTTGTTGTTTTCTTTGTTGTTTTTTTATGTATATCCCACTCGCTCACTGAACTAACTTTTACCTTAAACCCCGAAGCGTATCAGATGTGATATGATACTTATTCTGAATGTATTTTCGATATATCATGACACCTGGCATTTGAAGGTGTGGGGATCTGGAAAAAGGCAAGTGGTTGAATTATCATTGGAATCCAGCATACCAAGATAATAAGGAAAGTTACAGTACGCTACTGTAAGAAAAAAACTATAGAATCGAGTGATTCAGACAAGAATTCACTCTATAACGTGAACCTACCACACTGAAATATTCCCAAGACAAATAACCTTAAACAATGCTATCCCTCTGGGGCGACATGACACACTATTCACTTAACGGACCTCTCCATGGAAGAAAGACGTCTCCATTCCTGTTTCTTTATCCGGTTTGCTTTTAAGATAACTGTCGCTATTCATAATCGTAGCTTTTTGTGGTATGTTTTGTACATTGATCCCGCCTTCTTTCTCTCCCTCCCTCCCTCCCTCTCTCTCTCTCTCTCTCTCTCTCTCTCTCTCTCTCTCTCTCTCTCTCTCTCTCTCTCTCTCTTTCTCTCTCTTTCTCTCTCTCTCTTTCCCCTATCTCTTTATCTATCAGTCTATCTTTCTATATATCTATCTTTATTATGCCCCTCTCCCTTTCTCGCTCTCCCCACCTTCACCCCCCAACCACACACAAACACAGAAATACACACACATACAAGAAGAGAGAGAGATAGATAGATAGATAGATAGATAGATAGATAGATAGATAGATAGATAGATAGATAGATAGATAGAGAGACGGATAGAGAGAGAGACAGAGAGGGAGGGAGGGAGAGAGAGAGGGAGAGAGAGAGAGAGAGAGAGAGAGAGAGAGAGAGAGAAGGAGGGAGAGAGAGAGGGAGGGAGAGAGAGAAAGAAATGCACACACATACACACACATACACACACGCCTACGCACACACACACACAGACACACTTTCTGCTTTCATTCTGGCAATCTCCTACTATGTCAGTTTCCTTTCCTTTTGCGTACCTGTCTGTCTGTTTTCACTCTCGTTTTTCTCTCTTTCTCTTTTACGCTATCTGTTTGCCCTATTGGGATCCAAGCAGTTCACTGAAGATCAAGTGTTTTATGTGTGTGTGTATGTGTGTGTGTATATGTAAGTGTGTGTGTGTGTGTGTGTGTGTGTGTGTGTGTGTGTGTGTGTGTGTGTGTGTGTGTGTGTGTGTGTGTGCGCGTGCCTGTGTGTATGTTGTATGAGAGTATTTCTTTGGGAAATTTAGGTAAGATGTATACATGCTTGTGAGTGTGATTTGGTCACCCTGTGTACATGTAATAGATCTAGATCTATACTTTTCCCCGTAATTAGAGTGGCACACGTCATATCGCTCAGTTGGGATACTCCTGTACATTCGGATCCTTTCATACTCGTCAAATCAAAACGTTGAATTTCGTCTTCTTCCTGAAGTTGATTTAAGTGTTCTACCCCAAAACCTGTGTCTTGTATTTTGTAGTTGGTGGTTTTAGGGCGCTACTGATCGGTCCTACCTTTCTACTTCCCTTCTATTGTTTCTGTGCGTCTTTTTTGTTCTTTCCCAAGGATGAAATAGCTGTTAACTGCTTGTGTTGATC